CATCCCCGCCGTCAGCCAGGCGGGACACCCCCGGCCCCTCTCCCAGCACTTTTCCAGCACTTTCCCTTCAAACCCACTTTTCCCAGCTCCCTCTGGCAGCACCCACTGAAATTCCTCCTCCTGCAAGGTTTTTGGCAGCAGGCCGGGACGTCGAAGGGCTTTTTGTAAATATGACTGGCAGGAAGCATTGAATAACTGACTTAGGCGGCTGTTGCCCGGCCTGGAGGGGGACTGTTTGCTGCCTCTGAAGCAGAAGCAGTGGAAATGTCACTTGCCTCACTGTCAGTTGGGAGGAACTTGGCGAGGGGCTGGCCGTTAAGCCAGTTTTCCTTAGGAAGTCTGGGATGAGTAGATTGGAGAGTTAGAAAAAAATGTAAGGTAATGCCAAGATTTTTTTTTTTTTTTTTGGCAAAAGAAAAAAAGAAGGGGGAAAAGCACACACATGGTGCCTGCTGGCCGTGTCTAGCTGGCCTGGGGGAGAAATTCGGGTTTGCATCATAGAAGACAAAAATACTTGTTGCTGAAGCACGTGCTGTTAAAGCGCGGTTGCAACAGCCAGCCATGCTTGGGAAGGAGCTCATGCCGGGGCCCAGCTGCGCAGGGCACGTCGGAGCAGTGGGGACACGCTCCCGGCCGTGCTCATGGGCGCTCTCAGGCGCGCTCGGCCCCGTGCAGGACTGGGTCACCCCAGCAGCTCTCCTCTGCTCTCCCTGCAGATCCTCCAGGGTCTCGTTGATGTTCGCATCCCACACAATGATTTTTATCGGAAACGTAAGTGCACGGCGGTGGCCTCGCTCACCAGGCTTTCCAGCCAGATCCCCGGGGTGTGGGGACGGGCTGTCCCTGGCCCCCCTGTCCCCTGCTGCTCTCTGTCCCCCGCATCCCCCTGCTGCCTTGCTGAGGGTGGGAGGGCGAAATGTCATTAACAGATTTGGGGACCCACCTTGGTCGCTGGTAGCAGCCCACTGCCATGCCCATGGGCAATGGGGTTGTTGCTTCCCCCTCATCCTGCCAGCTGGGTTAATTAGTACTAATATCTACGAGAAGATGGGCTTGGAGGAGGGTTCCCGCGCGTTGGCAGCCCAAGGAGAGCCCGTCGGGGCTCTCCCTGTCACCCCTGCCTGGGATTTCCTGCCAAGGAGACGCTGGCAGGGCTGGCCCGCAGGGAAGGAAAAGCATCCCCCTTGTAGGACTGACTCTCCTCTTGCCCCCACTAGTGTTTTTAGAAATCGTGGATGAAAAGTCCAGGCACTCTCTCCATGACAACATGAGCAAGATCAAAGTGCCGACCCAGGTCATCTGGGGGAAGCAGGACCAGGTACGCAGCCCCCTCCGCCTCCCCCGTGGGACCCTGTCTCCATCCCTGAGCGCGTCCACCCGCGGGGGCACGGGGCGGGCTGTGCTGCCGAGCCCTGTGCTGCTCCGCGATGTGCTGGCACACGCGTGTCCCTGTCCCTGCTGGGTTTGGGCACAGGGGCCCTGCGGGGCGATGGGCAGAAAGCTCCACCAGCATGGGGCCGGAGGGAGGAGAGGGCAGAGCTGGGGCTGGGGCAGGTGGGGGCTGGGAAGAGGAATAAAGTGCCAGCAAAGAGGGTTGTCCTGGCGATGGAGAGGGATGGGGTGTCTGTGGGCGGGCACGAGGCAACGGCGTGGGGCTGTGCAGGGCTGGTTACGGAGGGAGGAGTGGGAGGGGGAAGGAGGCAAGCTGCAGGCGTGCAAAGGGCTCTACATGAAAAGGTGGGGGCGTTTGCTTGCGATGACCCCTTTGCACAGAGCCGGCAGCCAGAAAGCAGCCAAGCTAGTTCCCTGCTGCGTGCTGAGACCAGGCAGCCTCCCTGCCCCGTCCCCAGGTGCGGGTGCCATGGGGTGGGGCTGGTGCCACAAGGACCGTGTCCGCATCCCTGCTCAGCATCTCGCTTGGTCTTGCAAAGGCAGCTCCCACGGGGTTTCTGCGGTGTCCAGCAAAGCCTAACCCTGCCCATGGGAGTGACGATGATTTTTCCCCTGCCACCCAGGTGCTGGATGTTTCTGGCGCCAGCATTCTAGCGAGTGCTATCCCGGACTGCCACGTCTACATCCTGGAGAACTGCGGGCACTCGGTGGTGGTGGAGCGGCCCCGCAAGACAGCCAACCTCATCCTGGAGTTCCTGGCGCTGCTGCACAGCATGGACAACAACAAGAAGCAGGCGTGAGCGCGGCGGGGAGCCAAGCGCCCGCACCACGTCTTTGAAGTTGTAAAGTACTGCAGCTTTGATAAGTTCTCAGGGATCTTGTACGAATCGGGGTGAATGTGCCAAAGTCCCTGAGGAACGCGGAATCACTGATACCTAAACCTGTAGCACCGCCGGCACAGCGACCTAGGGGTCATTGAGCAACCTCCATAGATACAGGAATGGAAGCAGAATCTCTCCCTTTTCTACTTAGAAATGAAGCAGAAACGAGCTGAAATCGCCAAGCGCTAGCCTTGCCGCGTGCTGAAGCTCCTCATGCAGCCACCCGTCTTACACGAGTTACCGGCAAGTAGTTGTTAATGACATTTACCTAACTGTATAAGAATCGTAGGAAGGAGGAAGCGTCCTGGACTGAGACTTTACAATATTTCTACTACTTAGAGTCCGTCGCGTTGCATGCTGCCGTGCTGTAAGAGAACCCCAGTGCTCCAGGCGTCTGCTCGAGTGCTCATTGTGTAGCTCCTAAACTCGTGATTTATGCAGAAAACAGAAAACTTCATGCGTGGGAGTCCAATGACTGTATGTGCAAAAATGTTTACACTTTGAGTGGGTCTTTTCTAAATCCCTGAACATCTCCTGTGTGTATGTAATGCCTTAACGTTGCCCAGGGTGCGGCGCCTGCGCACAGCCCGCCTTGCCCAGGGGATGGTTCCCCCCGAGGGTGAACACAGCCAGGGAAAAACTCGAGGTGCAGACAGCAGCTTCGCCGCCGTTGTGCGAACCGGAGGGACAGAACCCACTCGGGGTGATTCGGTCCCCGAGCCCGAGTCAGCAATAAGCCCGTGGGCAGGGTGCGAGTCAGCGAACTCGGGCAAACTCTCGTCTTGGCTCTTCTATCACATTGCGCTGCTGAACAAGTTGATGCAAATAACGATTTTCTTAATGAATTCTGTGAATTCCGCGAAAGCCAACATCACCAAAACCAGGCACGAGGGGTGGGAGCAGGCTGTGTATGTGAACAGCGCTGGGGGTGCGGGCTCCTGGGCTCGCTGGGCAGCGAGGGGGGGCCAGCTCGCCTGCGAGGCGCTGGGCAGCGGCGTGGATAGGTACAGGGTGCTCGTGCCTCCTCTCGATGATTATGACTCCTGACCAAGTGAAATTAGGGATAGAAACTGGCAAAGCAGACAAAGCTACGCTTCGCAGCCTGCAAGGTGATGTGCAGGGATGGATCCTGCACCTGCCTGGGTGCGGACCCTCGCTGCGTGTCCCAGGGGAGAGGGCTGGCCCTGGGCTCGGGCAGGACCCATGGCTGCAGGAGGGCAAGGCGGGCCTCTCGAAGGGAAAGCAGCAGGCAAAGCAGCAGGCGGCCATCACCCCTCCGCCACCCCAGCCCTCGTCGGGGGCTGGCACCGGGTGCTGCCTGAGCCCCCCCGCAGACTGGGTACGCACGCTTGCGGTGCTGACCTCCATCTTCTCACCGGCGCTCCGAGGTACCCCAACCTGTACAGATATCTGAAACTCCCTACCAGCTTCTCTGCTCTTTTTGAGAGAAGAAACATTGTTCTTTTAGAAAACTAGAAATTCGCTGTCAATTGCTTGGATATTGTTTCTACTACAGGAGTTGATTAAAAAAAAAAAAAATTGCTGATAGTTTTATGTGGTATAAGCCAGAAAAAGTTGCTGGGTATCAATTCAGTTTCTCATATGCCACAGATTGCTGTACTCAAAGGATTTATATGGCTATTAAAATCTAGTGATTTAAGGAGTCCACTGTGCAATGGTTATTTTTTCCGTTGAGGGAGAAGGGGGCTGTGGTGTGGGATGGTGCACGACAGAGGGGACTTGCTCTGCTGCTTCTCTCCTCCCCACGTTTCTGGGAGATGAAGGTTTTGCCTCGAGGAATATCTGGTAATGTCAAGAGGGATGGTGAACACCAGGAAAGCTTGAGTCTCATCTCTTCAAAGACAATATGAATTTTGCTTTCTTCTTTTTACTGAGAGGAGGGAGCCCTAAACACTCAAGAAGCAAAATAAAGCCTCAAGAGCCAGGGGAGTTAAGCTTTAAGTGCCAAGATACCTCTCAAAACTCTTGAAAGTGCGCTAAATAGCAATTTCAGCTGTAATTACAAGTCTCACTGAATTCATACAGTGTGCCTGAATAGCGCTACATCAACATCCAGGCAACAGCCTTTGCATTTCTCCTTTCCCCAGGGGTCTATTGAGGCCTGGCAGCTGGTCTGTTTGACAGAGGAGCTGCAGGGAGGGCTGGGGACCATTCTCCTGGCACCTTGTCCCCCTGCCCAGGCCCTGCTACAGCAACGCATGGGTGGAGGTGACGGTGGCTGCAGGAACCTTCTTAATTACTGCAGGACAGGGGGGTGGGAGGGGGCCCCTCGCCCACGGGCAGGGGACTGCGTCACGCCTCGCAGCTCTCCTTGTACAGGAATACAAATCCCCAGGTCTGTTTGGGAGGGGGGCTCTGGGTGCTGACCCACAGCTCGCAAACGCTGCTGCTCATTCCGGCTGTGCCCCTCCCCAGGCCGACCCCGCAGCAGCAGCTGAGCCCACTGAGGAGAGGCGGGGAGCGAAGCTGCCGACACCTGGGAGCACACCTTAAAACACACCCAGTAACACCAGTTGCTGTTCCCACTGGTCCTCATTTCCTCCTGGGAGACAGGACAGCCTCATGCTATGCAAGGGCTGCTGCCTCCTTAGCACCGAGCCCTGGACCCCCACCCAGGTAAGGCTGCATCCCTGTGTTTGGAAGGGGCAGAGGCTTCTGCTCCTCCCGGTGTGTTTGGGGGCCCTGTGGGCAGAGCTGGGGGAACCACAAGGAAACCATTGGATCCCAGTCGCGGTGAGCCTGGGTACTGGGGACCTGAACGCAGCCTGAGTATCCTGGCATGGCAGGAGGGAGGAGTTTGCCTTTTGGTTTGTTGCCCAGTGTTTCAGCGTCACTTTTCTTGTAATTATATGAATAAACTGGGTCTGTGCTAGGTGGCAAGGCTCGTGGAGGTAGAGGCTCAGATGAAAGCTAAGTGAGGAGTCTGTTCTGGGTTGTTATGGGTCTTGCCAAGGCTGATTCACTGTGTCCTGAAAAGAGGTTGCAAAACACAACAGGGCTGGCTTGCTGATAATGATGCTTCCAAACGAGCTGTTTCGCTGCTGAGCGTCCGGGTCCGTGGTGGTGCCCGTCGTCCCGCTCCTGGGGTGTTGGTGGGAGCAGGAGGGACGGAGCTGGTGGCAGCTGCTCCTGGGCAGCCGGTATGTGCCCAGCTGCTGCTGAAGGGGGAAATGAGGTGCCCTCGAAACATGGGCACCCAGGGCATCCTGGGCTGGGTCCTGCTCTGCACAGCTGCAGCCAGCTGTCTGGCCGCCCTGGAGAAGCATCTTTCTCCCTTTTTTCCAGCAAAGGAGAATAGCAGCACCTGCTGCCTTGGGGAGGGGGGTGGGTGCTGTTTCACCAGCGCAGCCCTGTACAGAGCATCCTCTGACAGGCGCAGCGATGCTCAGGGGGGTCTGGCACCAAGGTTTGGGTGCTGCTGTGGGTGTCAGGAGCCCATCACCCGGCTGAACCTTCCCCCGACTCTGTGTGTTTCACAACCCCCTTGGACACAAACCGTGTTTTTGCATGGAAGGCTGGGTGGGAGCACCCCAGGCACAGCCACTCAGTGGGAGGGGGCAGCGCAGCCCCCCACCCATG